ATATATATATATATCCTGCTACCTATGGATCAGGATGAAGCTCTCAACTGTTTCTCCAGCACACACCTGTCATGCCAGCCGCCACACTTCCTGACACATACATTAGTATTAAATGTTTCCTTTACACTAGTGTCTCTTCACTGCAATGGAAGAGTGACTAAGACACTAGCCTATTCCTCAGGACTCAAGCTGAAGCCTGCTCCCTCATCTGTCCACCTGTGGCACCCCTCCTTAGAGTACCCACCAAACAACAGTTGAGATGAACTACAGTCTTCAGCTCTTCCTTCCTCCAGACCTCCTCATTTCTTGGCATTTTCAAGAATAACTTTTCTTTCCCCAGGGGCTGGTTTGCTCGCAGCATCCCACTTGTAACTGTTATAAACAATTCTATATGATGCATATGATTTCCTTTCTACTAGGGATAATATATATTATTCCTCATCATTCCTGTCACTTAGAGTATGCATTCATGATGGATGTGTGTGTGTGCACGTGTATGTGTGTGTGCATTCATGCTGCGAATGAATGTGTGTGTATCTGTGTGTGTATGTATGTGTGCATTCATGCTATGGGCGTGTGTTTGTTCACACATATGGAGGACAGAGGTCAACACCAAATATCCCTGTTTATCTCCAGCTTGGTTTTTAGTACAGGGCCTCTCACTAAATCTAGAACTCACTGATTTAACTAGAATAGCTGACCAGCGAGCCCTAAAGATCAACCTGTCTCTGCTGCCCCAGGTCTTCAATTACATGCGTGTACTGCCATGTTCACTTTTTACATGTGTGATGGGGATGCCAACTCTTATGTTACTTGTGGCAGACACATTGCTAATTGAGCTATCTCCCCAGCTCCAATCCTATCCCTCAGTTCCTTGCACATCCCTTCCTTGAACATTTACTAAGCTCTTTCTTTGTACCAGGGCTTGGCCTGGAGAGCAGAGATACCGAACAAAGGCTTAGAGCCCTACCCTCAAGGAGCTTACAGTCCAGTGACAATCCTGCTGTCTATAACCAACATGTAGCACAGGCTGCACTGTCTCTGGTACACACCCAGGCTGAGGTAATGCAGATGAGACATATTACAAGCAGGCATAAGCTGCCATGATATTCAAACCAGGGTGACCTACTCACCGCTTCACTTCTGTTGCCCTTGCGTAGCGGTTAACAACCAACAGTGCCTGACAAACAATACAGCACCAAAGTTTAAAATGGAAAAAAAATGCAAGGAGACTTGAGGAAAAGGGGAGATGAGACGCGAGATTGGCAGGGCAGCCTGAGGAGCCTCCCCAAGAGGCCTCTCCATCTCTACCCTCCCTTGAGCTCAACACACAAAGACTGGGTTTGCTTCAGAAATCAATCCCACAGCTTCGAGCTATTGACACAGCTGCTGCTTTTTGAACACAGCCAAAAGACAAACATATCATCATCCCATTTGCTTTTTTGTCGATTCCCATCGAACTTATGAGAAAAAGAAAAAAGTACAATGACATCAACAACCTCCCAAAAATCCAACCAGAATTCCCACCCGGATCTCCAAAAAATCTAGCCAACTCTTTTTGTAGCATAATTATTCATGCGAGGAAGAAGAGAAATCATCTTTGCAAGAAAAAATACATTTTGAGGTTCGGAATCAAGATTTAGGTTTGACTTTGCCATTGACCGCGGATCACGGGTCCCAGCATGGCCCAGCGGTTAGCCTTGGACCTCTCAGGAGAACCACACATTGCGTCTCTCGTCAACGCACACTGCATTTCTCTTTAACAAAATGCTCCTACTCAGACCACAAAACGGACTTGACTCTCAGTCTTCACACGTTAAGATATCTTTCACAAGGTCAGCCCCCGAGCTCTGTGTCTGCAGCATAATCTCCAGGTTTCATTTTTAATTTTATCTACTTTGATTTTTAATCTATGTAGGGTATTGACATTTTGAAGATTTGATTCTGAAAATTTTTAGAAACTTTTAATGAGCATGATTGTTGTGTGTATTTATGAGACCTGATTCTAGCAAAAACTTGCAATGGTCAGATGAATTGAATAGGAAGAGTAATCAGCTTAAATCCGTGTGATTTCTTTATGTTGGGACACTGAAATTTTTCTCTATGAGTAGTACTGAAATACACAGTTACGTGAATGTGGCCTACTATAGCTGCCTTACTATGTCATAGAACTTTCGAAGTACTTCTTCCTGTCCAACAGCACGGTAGCACCCTTTAACCAGCTTCTTTCCCATAATTCATACTGTGTGTTTGTGCACACATATGTATAACATAAGTGCATGCTAATGATTATGAAGGCCAGGAGTTGATATTAGTTGTCTATTTCTCTCTCTCTCTCTCTCTCTCTCTCTCTCTCTCTCTCTCTCTCTCTCTCTCTCACACACACACACACACACACACACACACACACACCTTATACTTTGAGATAGAGTCTCTCACAGAACCTGGAGCTCACTGAATAACTAGACTGGGTAGGAAGGTCTAGAGATGCGCTGTCTCCCCCTCCCCAGTGCCGGGGTTACAGAAGCATGCCAGGCCTGGTTTTTCTACACGGCTCCTAGGCATCCAAACATAGGTCCTCATGTTTCCTCTACTGCAGGCACTTTACAAATGAGCCACCTCCCTAGAGCCAAGCCTCTTGGGATGCCCTAATGTGGATCTAGTGTAGTCCGAGTCTTCCCGGGCTGAGTTCCTACTGCAGAGTTCGAGGCACTGCCTTCCTTCCACACCCAAGTCCCCTGTTTACAGTAGCAGCCCCGGCATTTTAGCCTATGCCAGCGCTCCCCTCCCGATACCACATTTGGCAAAGGATCGTGAGACGATTCTTTTTAAGTGGTGTGGACTTCCCCAGAATTCACTCTTTTTGTCTTCCAAAGTTTAGTCATGCAGGCTGGAGTTTGTGTTTCTTCGCCCGCCTCTGCTTCCTGATTCAGGCTCCAGCAGACGGTCTTGGAGCCACATGAAAACCCTTCTCCCTTTCTGCTTTCTTAAACATTCACTCCCACAGTAACATATGCTTAAAATTTACCACAAAATCTCTAAAAAAAAAAAAATCCTTTCCTTTTCCTCTGTCCTTCCTCCTTCTTTGCCTTCCAAGCACCTATTGTCCTTCACTGCCATTTCAGCCTCCAAGGGAACAGATTCCACGCTTCTACTCACACGTTCTGCTTTCCAATGCCATGAAAGCATTCTTTTGTAAGCCAGAGGGTGGTGGCATACTCTTTAATCCCAGCACTTGGGAGACAGAGGCAGGCATCTTTGTGAGTTCGAGGCCAGCCTGGTCCACAGAGTGACTTCTGGGACAACCAGGGCTACAGAGAATCCCTGTGTCGAAACACACACACACACACACACACACACACACAAACAAGAAACACTCTGTTGTAATTCATCTGCTTGCTAAATCTTGCAACAGAACAATCACTTTCTGAAGACAGGGGCTAAATCTGTTTTATAAAGTCTATCTCCGATAATAACAATCACATGTGTACTTAGTAACCAGTTGACAAACAAACTGAAAAATATATATCTGGGTGTCTACATGCAGCCTGCCTAATAGAATTTTGAGATAGCCTGGGCTCATCTGGGTCACCTCTAGTGATGATGTAAATTTACACGTGATAATTCAGGTGTATGGCCGACGCAAACTCTAGGCCCTCACTTCCAGCTAGTTAGACTTCGTCCCCCTAGTCTTTTGGGTAATCTCCAGCCAGGTGCTGTCTGCTGCATTATTCTATTAGAATGAAAGAGCGACTCTTCCTGAGCACAAACTCTGCCCGAGCTGCGCCTGCCAAGGTGGCATTAGGACTCTGCAGTGAGAACAAGTGTTCGCATCTGTCAGCAGGCCAGCAACCACTGTAGCCTGAGACCAGCAACCACTGTAGCCTGAGACGGTGGCTCCTGGTGATTGATCTCCGAGGAGTGTTCTCAGAAGACAGCAGGGGCTTGTGTTGAATCTCAGCTCAGCTCTCCCTTGCTCTCAACCCTTGACCTCCCAATGCCCTGTATCACTCGTAACTGTTGCATACTGAGAAGCAGAGACTAGAAAGTGCCAAGTTCTGTCCTCACCCAGAGCAGCCATGGTTATAGCTCTAGCTGGTCAGTAAAGGGTCCAAACTCAACCTCAACAGCAGCAAAGTACTCTGGTAGGTAAGAGTTATTTAAATGGAGCGCCTATCAAGACCTTGAGTCCTACGATAAATCACAAGCGATTGTGGAGCTGGTTACTTTCCAAATGCTTTCTGTAACATGTGCACATACACACCCATACTGCGGAAAACAAGCATGCCACCTCCCTTCTTTAACAACACAACTGAATCTATAAAAAAAAAAAAAAAAAAAAAAAGCCAACAGGAACAGGAAGTATTTCAGGATTCGAAAAGGTCCCAGAGATCTCTGAACAATAGTCAAAATTCTTCTACCCATTAAGCTATATATACTAACTTCATATGGTGTGTGAAGTTCCAGACATACATAGGCATTAAAATGATTTGAGTTCCTTTTCATACAAAGGTGATAGCGTGTCCTTGCTTAAGAAAATGCAAAGGGTTTTCTAGCAATGGAGAAGAGACTATGGCAGTAATTGCTGGTTGTAGTTCTTCCTCTTCTGGCTATAATGCCAGGATTGCCTGTAAAGAGAGTCAACATTTTCCCTGAAATCCATTCCTTCCTCCGCTGACTCAGTATTACAAAGAAATGAGTTCTCATTGCACAGCAAACCTGCCACTATTTGTGACCGGAAAACAACGGCCATTATGCAACCCAGACTCAGAATTTACCACCTACCTAGAAATAGTCTGACTTCAGCAAACCGGTCCCTAAGACGACAGTTTGCTTCCTCTTTATTTCACAAAGGCTTTGATTGCCTAGCAATCTACACATTAACAGCAAACCAGCACCTAAGACTAATCTAAGACTTTCTGCCCTCAAATAGACTCCAGCTGTTTCACGACTGGCATTGGCAGCTTTCACATGTGCTCTCCATAGACGCCTGACTTATTTCATAGTGTATGACATTACAACAGCAAGACGGAGATGCTGCAGTCTTATACATGACTTATTCCATAAAATATCAGCCATCTGCATCTCTACTTTAAACCAATAAGCAAAACCAGGACTATGTTACATTTGTACATAGAATATTGGATTTATAAACTGCTTTATAAGGCTCAATACATCTCTGAAGTCAGAAAGTCAAAGTAGTTACTCTGAATACAATACATATGCAGGCATGAGCGTGCATATACACTCACACATACATACACACACTTGCATGCACACACATACACACATGTGATTTGTATTCATAAGGTTCTGCTGTAGCAGACACTGGATATTTTGAATGGGAGCCTGGATGTGCGATACATGAGACAGACTCGAAGATGCCCCCTTAGTGCTGTAGAGAAACAAATAAGACAGAGCCAATAGGGTGATGGAGATGGAACTCAAGGGACATAGAAGAGGGAACACAGAGATTTGCACAAAGTGCAGAATCTAGCCAAAGAAGTGGTTTTCACATGATAGCTGGTTTTATTCCGGGTCTCTCATATCCTTAAAGGTTGTTTCCTGTAGGCCATCAACAGACCAAAGGTATATATGCTTCTGCCATGAATTGAGCCTGAAATGTCCCCACAGGCTGGCGTTTGAATGCCTTCCCCAGCTCGTGGTGCTGTATTGGGAGGATAAGGAATCTGAAGGCGGTGCCTCTGGCTGGCAGAAGTATGTTACTAGGAACAGGCCTTTGAAGGTGATAGCCAGGGCCCTGGTTCAATGCCTTGCTCAGCGCTTCCTGTCTGCCACATGCTCCAACCACTACCATGGACCGAGCTATTCTGTTATGTCTTTTCCTTCACAGTAGACTGAAACCATGAGCTGAAATAACTCTTTCCTGCCTCAAATTAGAGCTGACAGGGAATCCTCCGCAGTGACGCAAAGGTCACTAACTGATCCCGCTGTTGTGATTTTCCCCTAGGAGTTTCTGCTGTTCTTTGGAAACCAAGGGCTGAAAACTGTCGGTGGTGCCATTCTTTAAGACAAACCAGAGTGCACCCAGATAAGAGCCCAACAATACTGAATGAGGACATATGGCTTGCCCCCACAAAACTTGCCCCCACAGACTTCACACAGGTCCCTGTTAGGTCGTCTGCAAATATGGTATGATTATGTAGCTTGGCGTTCTTGTGGGACTCCTAACAGTGAGAATAGGGGTGTCTTTGATTCTTTTGCCTTTTCTTGGGACCTTTGTCCTCCTGCTAGGTTGCCTCTTCCAGACTTGACGAGAGGGTTTGGGCCTAGTCTTATTGCATCTTGTTAGGCCCTGTTTAGTTGATAACACTGGGAGTCTTGTTCTTTTCTCAAGGGAAATGGAGGGGCGGTGAATCTGGGAAGAAAGGTGGGGGAGGGACTGAGAGGAGTGCAGGAAGGGGAGGCTGTGGTTGCCACGTGCTGCATGATAGATAGATAGATAGATAGATAGATAGATAGATAGATAGACAGACAGACAGACAGACAGACAGACAGGACTCAACAGTGACACATGTAAGACACTTAGGATCAACTCTGTGCAAAGCTGCATAGAAGTAACCTCACCAACCACAGCTCCTTCTAGCCCTGGCAGCCCCAGGTTCACCAGCCCCAAGGCCTCTTACATGCTTGTAGGAAGTGCTGGATTAAGGGAGTGATTGTGTCACGTGAACACAATGCCATCTCAGCAACAGACTAGAGGCAGACATTATCAGTCAGGTGGAAATGGTTTAGGACCAAGAATAGGTGGAGTTTCCATCAGCGCCAGTATGAGAGTCCATGGAAAGCCGTCGGAATGAACCAACCAGCTGGCTTTTGTAAAGAGCACCTTGGTGCTGCTTCTTCAGTAATTAGCCATTTGGAAATCATGGTACTCCCTACCCCATCCCCCTGGCAACTTGCGTTTTTGTTGTTGCTGTCGTTACTTTATCGTGGCACTGCAGTACACTAAAATTTAGGCGCCAAACTCTCGAGTCATTTGTAGAGTCTGTGGGGGACGAGCAAAGCCTCCACCAGCAAAGTCCTGCCTGTGATACTGTGTTATCCAATTACACGCCAGAAAGCCTGTGTGTTTGCTGATCAAAGGGAAAAGGGGAAGGGTGGGGATGCAGAAAAGGAAGATGAAGATGTTTTGTAGAAAGGAAGTAAGGCAAGTAAATAAAACCTGCTGCTGCCTTCCTCGACCTCTGCTTATTCAGACGGGGAACCATACGCAATAGATAAGCAAGACCACATGGAAATTGACGGCTGGAGGGACGGCTCTGGGAGAATCTGTGTGCGTTGTTAGCACTCGATGTAGGGCTGCCATGCTGTTCTACCTGCTTCCTCAACCCAGCCCCCTTTTGTCTCAGAAAAGCATCCCATCTACTGCAAGAAACCTTCAGAGAAGCTCCTACTCTACCTTCTAATTTTCCAGAACTTCAAAGTCAAGAGGAAGAGCTAGATATGGTGGCTTATGCCTTTACTCCCCACACTTGGGAGGCAGAGGCAGGCAGATCTTTGTAAATTGGAGGCCAGCCTGGTCTACATAGTTAGCTCCAGGACAGCCAGAGCCACATAGTAAGACCCTGTCTCAAAACAAACAAACAAGATAAATCCAAAGGAAGCATTTGCCTGATAGATTGTCTTATTGTTCCTAATTCTTTTCTGTCCTAACCTGCAGCCGTGCAACTTGCGGGACAGCACCCCAGTGGGATGAACAGACTCGACGCCATCGGCATCATGAGTCTCCCTTGCACTGGTGAGCTGTGGGTAGAGGAGACACCACTTGATACAAGCAGAAGGGCTGATGTCTAGGGCACCGTTCTGTGCCCTGTGGCGAGCATGGTCCTCCGGAAGAGCAGCGAGCCGTCTCTCCAGCTCCAGTCTTCCATTTGTAAAAACTAGACGGTAAACTCATTTTGTTGGTTTTTGAAGCCGCCCTTACCTTCTGTAGACCCTTTGGTGTGGAGCCGTTTATTGAGCTCTTCCAGTTTGTTCTTCCCATGTGAAAACCAGAAAAGGAGAAAAGAAGGCACGTCAGAGGGGTTCTTTCTTTCTCCCTTCCCCTTCTTCCAATTCAGCGCCTTGCTCAACTCCATGTCTGTCACTGTGGTCAAATCCTCCTGGGCAGCTGCTGCTTTAACTCCCGTTTGCATCCCGAGCTTGCCCCCTTGTGTCTGTGAGCACCTTTGTTAACCTCCCCATGGCTTAGTTTCTCTCCCTTCATGCTGTGTGCAATCACGGTAGCTTCCCAGGCAGTACCTGGAGCACATACATGTTGGGTCTCAGATTCCTTCCTGTCTGCACTAAAATTATCCACCAAACCAATATATAAAATGGCTTTTTTCAAATCCAAACAGTAATGACTCTGCACTTCTGGAGAATGACGGAACCACCCTGAGAGATGGCTGCTCAGCATGGCACCTGACATGGATCCCCGAGACCCTCGAGCACTCACCATAAAACCCCATTTACAATGATGTCCTCTGAGTAACTGTAAACCTGATATTTGAACATTACTAAATGCTCTTAGAGAGGAAACTTGACAAAAACAGTGTGATCTATTTATATATCAAATGTAACTAACTAACATGAAAAGTAAGTGAGCTAAAGGTTCAGATGCAAATACACATGAATGTAGCCCAGAAATAATGATGCATCACACAATCACAGGCTTCAGAGCAACAGCAGCCACATAAAAATTTCCCATGTGCAAAACTATACCATAGGTTATTTTGAGATGTGTTAAGATACTTTGCGTACTATTTAAAAGCTATATATATAAGCAAAGTAAAAGTACAGAGTCGAGTATGAGAATTAAACATGACTTTCAGGGTCCCAATTAATGCTGCGTTGGAGAAGCCTTGATAGAAAGAAACAAGAGAGAGAGAGAGAGAGAGAGAGAGAGAGAGAGAGAGAGAGAGAGAGAGAATGGAAAGGAAAGAAGGAAGGAAGGAAGGAAGGAAGGAAGGAAGGAAGGAAGGAAGGAAGGAAGGAAGGAAGGAAGGAAGGACAGAGTCCTCAAAATGTCTATTTGTGATCCTCTTGGTAAGTTGGTTCCTATTGATTTTATTAATTTTGGCAGCCTCACACCTCCAGCTTCTGAGCCTTGCCTCCCCTTCACTCCTTAGCCTCTCAGATTCTTATCAAGAGCAAAGGTAGGAAGGAGATAAATGTGGGGATGGGAAGGAAGGGCTAATTGAATTTCTCTTATTCTAGAGCCTACAAAACTCTGGCTCCTATGGCCCTGGGAATCCTGAGAGGGGACCGATGGTAAGGGGAAAAGATTGCACAATAGGAGAATTACTGTCCATTTTTCTGAAGCTAATAAAAAAACCCTCATAATTAAATCTATAATTAGACAGCTTATAAAAGTGGAATAACGTCCTTGCTTTATGCAAGCATCTTCTCAACCCTTCAACCCTGTGGAAGCATTGGTTCATTTCTGCTGCTAGAAGCACTGGTGGGGATGCACTCCCCGCTGCTCCTTGCATGGGCAGCACAGTTGGCTGGGGTGGGGGGAGAGGGAAGGCGGTTCTGAGAATGAGCGTGGGAAATCTGGCCCAGCCCCCTCCCCATATGGTGGCGTGATCCTGGGAGAGATACCATGCTATCCCTTAGTCACCTGTGGCAGGTAGAAGGGCTGGACCACAGGTCATAAGAGCAGAGCAAGAGAGCTGTCCTTGTCCCTCGCCAGCGCCAGCTGCAGCATTCCGAGAGTGGACCTGCACCTCACCTGGGCAACCTCCAGACCTGTGTTGTCTGAGATGGTAGCCGTGAGCCATATTCAGCTTTTAATAGTACTTAAATTTAAAAGAATGAAATTAAAACTTTCATCCCTCCATCGTAACCAGTCACTGGCTCCATTCTGGACAGCAGGGGCAGTAGTCAATGCTATTATCACAGAAAGCTCCCCTAGACAATGCTTTATACACCAAACAAATATCTCCACGGTAAAGTACAAAGATCATTTCTACCTTTGGCTCTACCTTATCATCACAGGTGCAGCCCAGGTCAAAATCAGACTGGAGGTACATGATCCCTGGGTAATTGGGTCTAGTAACTTCCTCTGGGATGGTTGGCCTAAAGGTATTTGTCCGTAGTAAGTGATTCAAACTTCCGTGGGTCCCGTTATTGGGAGCCGGCTTCAATCCTAGGAGATCTGAAGAAAAGAAAGGAAGAGATACAGGTGGTTCTTATTTGTTCTCAGATGAACTATGGTAAGAGCCAAAGCCTTTCACCTTCCAGGAGTCTATAAATATTGAACACAAACCACAACTGGACTAAGTTAGCATATCTGTCACTCCTAACACACCTTCTGAACCTTTCTGACCTCACAATGCCTTGTTAACACTTCTTGAAATAGCTCTGTTCATTGCTAGAGCACAAATACAGACATTCCCCAAAACCCTGCATGGAGAAGTAGTTTACTCAGCCATTGCCCATATGGATGACAATATTGGTACCATCACCCTCCTGTGCACTTCTCTAGACTTTTTAGACCCAAATTTTGAAATAAGACATAATCAATAAATACCCACAGCCTACCATCTACCGCACTCCACAAAAGTGTGAGGACATGAGTAGCTTTTGGCCATGTGCCTTGACGGGCTACCAAGGGATGAACGGGCTGACTTCACAGCAAGTGAATGGTTGCCAAGTGGGCGTACAGTGACTTGCCTAAGCCGAGAGGCGGGACAGTGGCGAGCAAGCAGCCAACCTAGGGAAAGAACCCAGGAGACCCGACTTTCAGTCTCCCCCTCTAACCACCAGACTGGCACTCCCTTACTAAATAGGAAAAGCTGTCCTCATTCAGCAACGAGAAGCTCAAAGAAGAAAAATAATTAGGAACACATAAATAGCTGGCTGGGATGCAAGCTGGCCAAGCTTTCACTGGGCTGCAATGTGAGAGAGGGAGGTAGGGGAACGCTCTGCCGGCATGGAACTCTTGCTTCATCAGGTCTCTGACCAACGGTGTCGAACTGTAATGCTATGTTGGATCAGCCAACGGCTGCCAACAGCAACACTATGAAAACTCCCCATTAGTCAACTGTTGAAGGGACACAAAGAAGCCTTAGAAGGGGGTGACATTCTGTCCTTTGAACCAATGGGCAAGTTACTTTTTTTTTTTTTTTTGTGAGAGGAGGTTGTAGAAAATAGACTCCTCATTTCTTTTTCTAGTAGTAAGGAAATTCACTGGCCAAAGATTGATTCATCGAGTTTGGTTGAACAAGTGACTTACCGCACATAACATTGTAAAGCTCGATGTTTTCAAATGGAGGCACTTTCGTCCTGTACTTAAAAGTTGGGCCATAACCTACGAAAACAGTCTTCCAAAAGAAAAGAAGAGAAACATAGTTAGTTAACCATCCCTGCTTTCATGAGCAAGGTCTCTGCGATTCCCTTCTCCCCCATCCACCCCTGCCGAGAACTCAGTTTCAATTCAGTCTTGGGGTCATACCTGCATGCTGTTGACCTTGTTATCAAAGCCATGGTCACCCTGGAAAAAACATTTTCCTGATGGCTTCTTATAAACATCCAAAGGTTTCCTACATTGAAACAATTTTATGATCAGTTAGGATTCTGCCCCAAATCATGCTGATAGAAAGCAAATTTGAGTACATAGGATCCCTGAAAAGGCCTGTCTAAAGCTCAGTTGTCTCCGTCTTAATTGCAGCATTCCAATAGCAATGATAGCTACTTCTGTTCATTCCTCTGGTGTTATTGCCTTGCATATCACCCCAGGTTAAAGGGGAAATTTTGAAAAGAAGTCCCTGGACTCTCCATGACTCCTGCTTGGACTGAAGAGCTCTCCCTGCTAGGTGTTCACCAGGCTCAGTCTCAAGACACAGAAGGCATTTTTCAACATGCGATGTTGAATCAATTTGTGGAGAATCAATTCGTGGAGATCTGTGTTCTATAAAAATATTTGTATGCAAACTTACCTAGCAGGATAGTAAGACCAGAGTTCATAAAGTGGCCAATTTAACACTAACCAAGGCATAGCTAACAAAAGTATGGCCTCACCTAGAACCTGTATTTAGAAGTAATGAAAATACAATGAAAATATTGCCTGCAAGATATTACAATCGCTTAAAGTTACCTTTTGTGACACAAAGACACCTTTTACAGAACTGTTTTGTGAACTCTTCTACCACCCAAAATTTTGATGCTTAATAATTCAAGTATTGCCTAACTACAGGCAGAGTACATACTAATGCTTGGGAAAACAAAGAAATCTAATGAATAGGTTTCCACCCAAGAGTGACTTTGATTTAGAATAGTGATTCGTGTGTGTAATAACTCAACAATGCAAGAGTGAACTTCAGAAGAGTTAGCACCTGCCTTGTTTGCTCAACTAGTGTCATCTTTCACTTAATTTCTGCTCCAAGACACAGGTTTTTCATATAAACTAGACAACTGCATCGTTTTTTCTCTCCCTAGGTGCCACAACAGAGGACATAGTCAGCCAAGATATTTTGGGCACATCTCTATAATGTTTTCACATGGAATCCTGTCTGTTCTACATGGTTCCAGTGTAGAATATGGGTTTCGTATCTGTCTTTGCATAATCCCACATATTTAACTATTTGGTCTTTTACAGTTAGTAGATTAAATGTCCAAGTATTTCGCGTTGAGACAAAGCTCCTAGAAGACCAACATTTTTCATTATCATCCCATGTTTAGCCATTAACTATTATAAACTACTGCCCAGCTCAAGTATCCAGCATAGTCATTCAATTAGCACTACAAGCATATTCATAGGCTTGTCTTAATGTCAGAGTTAAAGCAAAAAATGCATGAGAATACTCTACTTCTAGGTCTTCCTAAAAATGACTAAATCTGCGGTCATTGACTCTTTAGAAGTGGCAGAAGTCCCAGCTCTGCATCAGATCCGAAAGCAAAGGGTGGTTGGTTCTCATGATCTGGGAGAGCCTTCTGGAGTTCAGAAGAAGGCAGACATCAGTTGTGTTTTAAGCAATGTAAAACATGTCCACAGCAACAGAGGTTTCAAGACTAACATTTCCAGGGACTTTCTACAAACACAGCTATAGGCAATCATGTCAACCAAGACCACATCAGCAAGGCCTTAGTTGTATTTCGAGTTGTTCAAGCAGAAAAAAAATATCCAGACTGTCTCCATAAAACTTGTGCACAGAAATTTATGAGAAAAGACCAAGAAACTTGAGATGTATTGTTTCTCGTCTCATAGATTATTTACTATACAAAAATTTCCAAATGAGATTATTTCCAATCCAGATTTTTGTTAATAAAGACCAAGAACCAAAGGGTTCCCAGATGACAGGAAAGTGCTTGAAAAGACAGACACAGGCTCCCCATTTTACCTTGCAATGTGCCATCTACGATCCACCAGCAGATGGATATCCTCGATTCTCCTGTTGTTGGCATAATGCAAACGTTTGGGAAGGTGCTGTTTCATGTAAGGCTTAAAGTGCTGATCGGGTTTTTTACACTGAAATACAAGTGAATATTGGTGTTACAGAGGGATGTTTTCTACCAAAAAAAAATCTTAGCTAGTCTGTGTCCTGAGAGTTGAAGGCAGTGTTAGTCCAACAAGAAGACAGTTAGTGAATAAATGGAATTTGCTATCCCCTATTAAATAATTTATGCTACAAGCAAATAGGTTCCAAGGGAGGTAGACAGTTATAGAAAGAGATCAGAGGTTATCAGAGAACCTGGGGTATTTTTGAGATAAATTCCTGACTCTTGAGCCCAAAACTGTGGGTGGTTCCAAACTCAAGGCTTTCCCCCACTTGCCTCAAGTCAAGGAGAGGGAGAAAGAGTGGGAAGAGAGCAGAAGAGGCATACAGGCCTATCTGATGGGGTGTTCAAGCGCTTTGAAGTCTCTACCTGCGGGATGGAGGGGGCCTATAAGACGGGGACAGATCTGTTTCAGAGTGAGTGAAGAGCTGATTAATTATGAGCAAACACTTCTGAGCTTAATAGGAAGAACAAAGCTTCATTTTGTGTCATCACCAAGACCGTTGGGGAGTCTACAGTTGACCACGGGCCAGAAGTTTTGAAAGCTTAGGGGAAACAAATACACAGGACCGCAGGTCAGTGAGGAAATTGTTCCTAACCACCCACAGGGAAGGCAAACATGGGAAGGTGAGCGCATCGCAGCTGCTCCAAGGGCAGAGGCCTAGCGGTTTGCAACACTTACCGTAAGATTAGCAATAATGGCTTTAGGGTCATCTGTGCAAAGAAAGGGAGAAAAGTATCAAAACGCAATCATGAAGAGAGGTGATTTTTACAGCAAGAGACTTAACGCTTCCACCCCATTCAGTGTCGTGTTGAACGAATGCATAATTGAGTACAGGTGTTTAATACTTCAGCGACAGGGCGGGCAACAAGTAGCATGCATCCTGCAGCAATCTGCCCTGCAAGATGCAGGGCTCCTCACCTAGAAGGAAAGTCGGTCCTCCTCCCGCAGCACCAGGAGGACCGCCAGGTAACCTGCTTCAGCCTTTCCCAGCCGAGTCCTGTGCAGCACCCACTTGAGTTTGTGTGCAATTACATGTCAGGAACTGAGCTGGTCGTTTTCAGGGGTCTTTTATTAGCGTCATTTCCTGTTTCTCTGCAAGGTTTTGGAACAAGCAACCCTTTGCTGCAAGATGAGTTTCCTAAGGCAGCAAGCGAGCTGTTTCTGTGGTGACATCAGAGGTCTAATTACATAGGTGAGCACTCCTTTCCAGCTGCAGGCTCAAGTGTGTGCTGCCTTTTTTTCTTTTTTTTTTTTTCACAACCAGGAGACAAAGACTATTTCAGCCTACACTCAAATCAGCTTAAAGTACACCTATGTAAATGATGGGTGTGCCTGTGTGCCGGATCTTATTGTCGGGGTGCCCCTCGGTACAGACTGTGCGGAAAAAGAGATTGTAGGCCGCTTGGGTTTTTTTTTTTTTTTAAAGAAGAGGTTTGCCTCAATCTGTCATTATAGAATCAGGAGAAGAGGAAAAGCAGTACTCAGGAGAGATCCGGCTTTCCCAGGGCAGGCCTCCCAGGGGCAGAAACATCAGCGGAGCTTGTGCATATCCTTCGCTGCTGTAATCCCCAGGGCTTGGTGCTTAGTAAGCACTCAATAAACAATCAAACAATTGTTCATATTTGAGGGAAATGCGGGTTCCCTCAAAGTATACACATGCACACGCGAAATACTGTCTTCAGAACCTTAGTCCTAAAGCTCTGAAATCCAAAGGTAAAAGCGTTGATTCCATTCTACTTAGGTTTTAAGAGCTGCATTTCACGGAAAGCAAGCAATCACGGTAATAATAACTGAGTCCATGCTGTGCACCTATTTCTCTCTGAGAGCTTTGGGCCCTTTCTGTCTGATCATTCGTAAGGATGCCAGGATACAGGGGGCTATCAGAGGTCTCACTCAGCCAAGTGGTTTTAGAAGGTGTAGGATCTTGCACGAAGGAGCACAGCACAAGGTCCCAGGGAGCCAGCCACGCCCCGCACTTCTGCACTCATTGGCCTTGTGAATCACAGTCTTTCCAGAAACTAAACAGAATAAACCCTTGTCCTTTGATAGGTGAGAGCTGTGGTCTCAACTCTCCTAATGCTGCAACCGTTTAATGCAGTTCCTCATGTTGATGCAACTCATAAACTTATTTGTGTTGCTTCTTCATAACTGTAATTTTACTACTGTTATGAATCGCAATGTATTTTTGGAGATCGAGGTTTAAAAAGAGGGTTGTGACCCACAGGTCGAGAACTGCTGCTTTAAAGAAATTAACAACATGGAACAATCTCATCCTTAGGCACATCCCAGAAAATTCTTAGGAAATACCAGTGCTTCCGCTTTTACTGATCATCACTTCATCCTACCCAGACCATTTTGAATGAGAATTAAGGATCAGCAAGTGGGGTTGGCCAGATGGTTCAGCCAGTAAAATACTTGCCACCATGCCTGACAACCTGAGTTTCATTCCCAGGACCAAAATGTTAGAGGGAAAAACTAATTCCCACAAATTTTCTGTCCTCTGATCTCCACACAGAGGCGATGGCAAATGGCATTGTTGTATATCTATACATACATACGTATAAACACAATAAATAGATATAGTTAAAGTTTTTAAAAGAATCAGCAAATGCAGGTTCTAACCCTAGCTCTCCCTGCCATTTACGGCCACCTCTGAGCCAGTTCCTTCAACCCTTTCTCTGCCCTTGACTTCTACTGCCCATAAATAGAATGGCAATATATATCACACAAGGATACTGGAGGGACTTAATAAAATTGTGTTCGTATTCATCTGAGACAATGATAAAGCCAAGACTGCATCTTTGTATTCAACACAGAGCTTTGACTACAGATTAAACACAACGAAATTACATTTACACACTCTCTCATTCAATCATCCCACAACCCTTAGTCTATGCCTGAGGAAGCTGAGCCACAGTGCTGAAGAGGCTTGTCCAGTGTCTCAATGAGAACCTGGAAGAGCTGCAAAGCGAACAGCAGCATAAGGCCACCCTTGTATTCTTCGTTGCCCACCGCACTGTCTCTCCCCAAATGAATGGAGAGCACAAATATTTCATTATTGGTATTGTGATCCCAAAGGTCCCCAACAAGCTCATCTACGCAGTCTCCCCGTTACATTTACAGATGTCAGAAATGCTTTTTGAAATGAAGAAATGAACCTTCAAACCCAAGGGCTTAAATAAAGAGGTAAAGGCTCGGATCCAGTCCAAGGGAGCAAAGGTGCTGGGGCTACAAAGGACAGAAAAGGACATGGAAAAAAAGTAAGAAACACCAATATTTTGTTGATTTCACAACATTGACCCTGGAATACATCCCATTTGTGTTGACTTAAGGACATAGCTTAGGAAAAATTTAAGTTTCCAAAGCTTTGGGCTTGATGTCAGTGGTTTATTATTCTGAACATTCTATTTTAACGTAGCATGTCTGAAGTAAAACTATATATATTTAAAAACGAAGGATATAGGCTCATATGAAAATGCCCTATGTGACATAATGCCATGCACCACTAATATATACAATGATTTTTAAGAATTTAAAAGAGGATCCACATGGTTTTCAAAATCTAGACGGCAGTGAGACAGACTGAAGGTTTGTGTTAGTGGCATATCACACCCTCAACACGCAAAACAGGTTCAAACAAAGACTCATACTTCTTCTAGGTTTTTTGAATTTCCAATTTTTCAGAATAGTTAACACTCTAAGAATGTAGTATGTTTCCTCTCCTTTGCACTTTGAGAAAAGGAAAGAGCCAGGAGGTACTAGGGAACTTGAAGGTACGCATGTTGGTTCTGTCTACCGTGAAACTCTATCTTCACCAGAGGGATCAGTCTGTCCTTGATGCCAGAAAACTCACCCCTATAAATAGATATTTATGTTGTAAACATGCTTCAAATTAAGTGCGATTTCTATATGATAAAAATAAGAGCAAATGTTCGGTCACTGCTGCTCTGTGCCCAGAACCACTCTTGGTTCCTGTCCAGTTAACCAATTACCCATTGGTTAATGTTCACCAAGAATCTTCATAGATTACAAGTCTTTATCATCAGATGAGAAAAACTGAAGGCCAACTAAAATTTCTCTAGCTTCAGAGAACAAGCCTTTACCTTTTCCGTTGATTATTAGTTGAACTACTTAAGATTTGAAGAACCAACTTACACTTAGGATTATTGCTAAATTTGGATCGAATTCTTCCTAGCGTTCCAGGAACTAAAGTAATATCATCCACGTTAGTCAGATAGTTGCTCAAGAACTCGGTTCTGTCACAGGTCACGTCTTCCATTCCTACGGGGACAGAAAAACACACATACACACAGTTCTGTCAAATGGTATTAAAGTTGAAATCCTAAAACACCCAGACAGACACTGGAGGTAACATTCGAACATTGCTCTAATTAGATCATAGCAACTTAATAAGAGGGAACTTCACCTTGGAGATTGTTTTGAAATGACATTTTAAAGATGTATCTTTATAATCTTCCCCCAAATATTTTCATCTAACCATACCATCTCACATACAGGTTGAAAATATGTCAACTCAACTATTATTTTGAGTTATTGAGCAAGGACAGAAAGACAAAAAAGTCATGTTTGAGGGCCAGGGAGATGAGCGTGCTTGTCCCCAAGCCTGACCACCTGAGTTTGACCCTTGAAGCCTATTGTGGCACAGGGAAATAACAGACTACCACAAATTACATTCTGACCTCCTCATGAGTGCTACTCTCTTTATCTCTCTCTCATCTCATAGGCACACAATAAATAAATACATAAGTAAATATAAGAGTGCTTGAAAAACACAAGCTATTGACATTCATTATAAACAATATTCATTCCTTGGGGAGAGGGAACAGAAGAAGAGGAGGGAGGGGAACCTGTGGTTGGTATGTAAAATAAAATTTAGTTAAAAAAATAAATAAATAAATAAATAAATAAAAAATCTTAAAAAGAAAGCTATTTATTCTTTAAACATAGGTCCTATTGAGCTTGTGAAAGCCTAGGATCTCTACCCAATGGAAGGGGCAGACAGGAGACTGGAAGGTGAACACAGTCCTCAGGCAGGTCACAGGGTAGGTGGAGTTTTCAGCAAGTGTTTATGGCCTCTGTCTTAGTAAGGTTGGTCTTAGATCACAAGAATGGGCAGAATAAACAGTAAAGTCTATGTTCCCACTTAAAAATGAAGGCCAATGGTTGTGGCAGAGAAAGGTGTGACTGTGAATCTGAGGTCCCTGTATGAACAGAGGGACACAGATAAGGTGCGGAAGGCAGTAAGGTGGTCCTCAGGTCACAGGAGGTCATTCCACATCTGTAAAGTTCTTTATAATCACATTTAAGCTGTTCTCCTCAGTATACAATGAGCAATTTTTATACCAGAAAGTATTGATGTATAACTTTCCAGCAATACTAAACAGGAAAGATGTTAAACATTTCTAGAAATCAAAACATGGGAAACTACTAATGCCAACAAGTTGTTTATCACTCATCATAAAAAACAAACAAACAAACAAAAAAACAAACAAACCAAAAGTAGACCCTATTGCTTCAGGATTAGGGAGAGAGTGGCATAAACGACTGGAATTAGAAGCACTTTTCCTTCTCCTTTACAAAATGTTATTTCTAGGGCTGGGAAGATGGCTCTGTGCTTAAAAGTGCATAGTATTCTTGCAGGGGACTAGAGGTCAATTCTTAGACTGCTTTTCAAGGAGATTACAAGTGCCTGTTAACTCCAGCCCCACGGGGATCTGACACCTCTGGTCTCTGCCTGCACAGAAACATACGCTCACACACAAGCGCACATGCATGCACACACACACAAGCACACACGCACACGTACACACATATTTAAATTATGCCACTTCCTGTTCTTCTTCTGTCTAATATATCCCCATTCTTAAGGATAGAGCTGCAGCTCCTCACCCTATCTTCACTGTTGGCCTTGGGTGTGGCTGACAATAATGGCAGCAAGAAACGAGGGACAGAAAAACAAAGTCAGTTCAAATGGCCACCCAAAATGAAAAACAGGTTGTAAACAACGTAATTAGAACCGGAAGTTAGTATCTGCCGCACAGAAAAGGTCAAGTGAGGGATTTTTTTTTTAACCAACCAATATTCTTTCCCACTCTCAAATTTGTTTTCTGCCTTCTAGGGAGATTTTCAACATCTTGAAAACTAATTTAAATCTTTAGATTATAAACTCTAGCCACTCTAGAGAGCTAAATGTCATAGAAATCTTTATTAACATTTTTTAGAATTCCCATGTTGACCCAGAACAGCAGAAGTTTAACTCTCTGAAGTTCTAGTTATCTGGTTAGCAACAACCCAAAACATATCAATGGGAGATTCCAAAAACCAGTGACTTACAAACTTGAAACTGCTATTCTAAATTGCATAATGAAACTGATTGCTACCCTGTTCCATTCTGCTCAAGACGTAAGTCATACTTTTAGCCAGTGTGTCTGCACAGTAGTTAAGAGAGATCACATTCATATAGCTTTTTACAGCATGCTCTCCTAACTGATGTATTTTATCACTAGTGATTGTTGCTAATTTCTTAAATTGTATCTTATAATTACAAGTGTATCAGAAAAGGCAGACAGGTGTATCAGAAGAGTGCCAATTGCCATGGCAGACATGTACTAGGAGTCATAGAACAGATTTCTCCTGGGATCAGGAGAGACCACTGAACCGCCTTCCACAATCTAGTACAGTAATATCCTCTAAGATGGAAAATAAGTGATTCTATAGAGGGTCTTAAGGGTTTAAAGTAATGTAATCCAGAGTGGTCCAGATCTGGTAAAATTCCAGTTACCATTTCTGGTGACCCTGGCTCTGTCTCTTCTTCTCTGTCTAGATTTTTTCACTGCTGTTGGGCAGACATCATGGGCGGCTCTGCAGCACACATGGGGAGGTCAGAGCACAGCTCGATGGAGCCAGTCCTCTTTGCATCCTTTCACAGGTCCCATGGACTAACTCAAGTCAGCCGGCACACATCCTCACTGAACAATCTCACTGACTCTCTTTTAGTTTTTAATATCAACTAGCACAAAGGAGTGAAACATATTTTAATATAACACAATCATATTGCATTTTTTAAAAAGTCTTTTCTTTATTTTTTTTTTCCAGGACAGGGTTTCTCTGTGTAGTTTCAGCTGTCCTGGAACTCTCTCTGTAGACCAGGCTGGCCTCAAGCTCAAAGAGATCCTCCTGCCTCTGCCTCCTGAGTGCTGGGATTAAAGGCCTGCACCGCCACCACCCAGCATGTGTTTTCTTTTAACACTGAAACTTTCAACATGAAAACATTAAAATAATGAACAGCTGTGAGTTCTAGTAAACCTTTAACTCCAGAAAGGGAAATATCTCCACACACAGATGAACAGAAGATGGAAAGAATCTTCTATTCCTCCATTACACCTTCTATAGTTCCAACGCTGAGCAATCTCCCTAGGTTGCAGAGAGCATCAGGCAAATGTGCCCAGGATATCTCTAGAATCTACCTCCTTCCCTTCCCTCCAGACTGATGTCCCCTGTGTGGAATGTGGAGTTCATGTTTTCACTCTGCAGATGAGGGAACTGAGATTCGCAGAGGCAGATAGTGCAAGAGTCATGGTGCAACCTGAGCTCCACAGAAATCCATTCTGTCAAAGCCCAGGGCCTGCCTGAAATGCTAGGCAAGATGCCTTCCAAAAAAGAGGTACCCTGGCTTCCCAGAACCAATGGGTCCATTCGTTCTGGCAATCTTTACATTGAAAGAGGGTTCTACGCTGCGTGTGACCTTTATGGTGCTCCGACATGTGACTCACTAGGACCATCTGCTTCTTAGATGTCTGCCTCCAGCTTGTGAGTAAATGCTCTCCACACTTCTGGGCAACTTAAATTGAATTTAGTGTGTCACAAGCTCCCAATTTCCACCCTGTCTGCAGCTTTCCACTAAGCCAGACTCGTAGAGAATGATCTTACAGAGGGTGTCATTTAATCCACTCAGGGAAGCAAGTTAGCGCCCGCAAACCCCCACCCCTTGCCCAGTTTCTCAGATCTTCTAGAACGCTCTGGATATAAAATTTCAAGGACCAAAATATGACTCAGGAGACTCACTAACTAGTAATAACAGAACTGTGAAGAAGTCTACCACTTTGGAACTTTTATTTAAACGCTCTAGTAGACCTACTAGATGGAACAGCCCCAAATTCCAAGGTGGTTATTATAGTTCACAGTTTGATAGTTTCGGAACATAGATGGCACCCTCTAGAACTGAGTTTGCATGTCTATGAAAAGTACTGATCTCTGAAAATCAAGTTAGTAATAGTGAATATGCAGCTAGCTAGATTGCATAGTATTGGAAGGTGCTATGTAGGCTGCTGAGATAAAGAGTCAAACAGTCTTGCTCAGCTGTGAACCCAATGAATGGCAATGACCAGTGTGGCAAGATGCCTCTTGGGTGTAATCGTGGCATAAATGTGATGTGCGTAACCAATCACTCTCTGCTTGGGTTTCAGACACACTCTATAAGAGGAAGCACACGTCTGGTAGTGTAAATGTGGCCAAGAATACATGGCTGATGAACTTACAAGCCCCTACTTACAAGTGTAAGTAGGGGGTCGGCCTACTATTATTATTCAGCTAAGAGGACATAGTATCCAACTACCCCTCTAGAGTTGTGTTTCTATAGCCATAGGATAATGCAGCTTTCAGATCTCATCAGGGTGTGTTTTCTTTGTGCAATGGACAACCGTTAATGCAGAAACTCACAACTTGTCAAAACGCAAGAAAGTATCTGTGGCGTGCTCAGCCATAAACAGAACATCTATATCACGTCTCTTTCTCCGAGGCTCAGCGACCGTTGCAGGGTTAAAAGAGCATGAAAGCTAGAGACTGGAGCTGGGGCAAAAGAGAAACAGCGTCTTTTGGACATAACAGGATCACACTGCACTGATGAACTCACAGCACCTGTGATGGCCTGGACCAGACGAAGACAGTCAACACCCATGATGGAATGGAGAAGGAATCGTGAGCCTCCATTCTAACTGAAGAGCTATTGATAGTGGGTGAGTCCTAGGGGAGGGAAAGTTGGTTTTCTTTAAGGATGTGTGCCCTGGTAAGTCTACCATGTTCCAACAGATGGCCCCAGAGTCATAAATATATGGGTAGCTTAAACTGCACTTTAGTGGCTTATTTTTAAAAAAAAAAAAAAAAAAGGATATAAGGATGGGAGGAGTTGAGGAAGATTGAGTTGGATCTGGAAGGAGTTAGGCAGATGGTTGAGTGTGTGTGTGTGTGTGTGTGTGTGAGTGTGTGTGTGTGTGTAAAGAAAGAAGGGAGGGAGAGCAGGCCACTTCCTACACTACTTCTTTCTCTTAATGGTGTTCTGTCTTGAGGCTTTGAACTCCCCATGAGAACGCCAGGAAACCATTGACTTCACAGAGGCAAGAGACTATCACCTGCTATGCAGAAAGTCCCGGAGGAAGTCATTAATATCATGTATCAGATGTCTGCAACATTTCAATAGGAGACAGAGTTTTGCAGAAAGGCCTCTCCTACAAAGAACATGAGAATGCAGAAATATCTGGGTCTCTCTAATTGTTGTATCATGACCTAACTTCTTTCCCTATCCTGAAGTAATTAAAAAGAAAGAAAGAAATTAAGAACAGAACCTTGGATTCTGAGAGCAACGATTTTTTTTTCTCAGCATTCTAGGAAATTTCTATTATTTGTTCTGTTTGTTTGTTTGTTTGTTTTGTTTTGTTTGTTTGTTTGAGACAGGATTACTCTGTGTAGCCCTGGCTGTCCTAGAATTCATTCTGTAGACGGGGGTGGTCTCAAACCACAGAGATCCACCTACCTCTGCCTCCAGAGTGTTGGGATTAAAGGGCTGTGCTACCACCACCTTGCAAAACTTCTATCATAATAACAAAGAATAGAAATGAAGCCTTACCATGGTCTCCAACAAAGATAACATTCACACACCGATGCAGTTTGAGCTGTTTCAGTCCATCCATTAGCTGCCCCACGGTTTTGTCAATCTCCCTCAGGGGATTTGTCATCTGTAAAAAGCAAGTTAGTCCTCACAAACTTATTTATATATTTTTAACCTTTCGATTTCCATGGATCTTCTACCCTTAGAACATTCTGGAAAGAAAACTTCTGGCCCAGAGGCAGAGTTTTGTCTAGGGAATATTTCCCCACTATTTCCCACACCTTTTTTTAATGGAAAAAAAAATAAAAAACTCTCCTGATCCCATCCCTTTGTAAAGGTTTTGATGTGAAAATATCACAAATTGCTGAGGCAAATACTTTTTGATGCGCAAAATGGCTTTTCTAAAATGTAAACGCAGTCTTCAAGTCCAACAGTTTTAAGAGTGAATAGGAAAAGAAAAAAGAAAGAAAGAAAGAAAGAAAGAAAGAAAGAAAGAAAGAAAGAAAGGAGGAAAGGAGGAAAGGACTGAACAGATGGTCAGACAGAGAGTGGGAACCCTTGTTCCCTGTTTAAAATCACCCAACTTTGAACTATGTCAGAGAGAGAGAGAGAGAGAGGCTGAGGGATTCATAAAGCACTAAATTTAGAGATTAAAACCATCACCTTTTTCTGGGAAACAAATTAAGACATCATTAATAAAATAGGATTCATCCCTATTCCAAAGATCCTAAATGCCGACCTTAGAGAGCAACCAACTGCCTGCAAATGAAGCTGTCCTAAGGGCAGGTTACTGCTTCTCAACCTCCTCTTTACAAACAGATTAAATAAGAATCAACAAGAATCGTAACAAACAAAAACGAACCACAGAATGTGTTCTGTTTAGACTAATGAAATACAAACTCCCGATCGTTCTCCAAGGAACCTTTTCAAAGCCCAAGAAACTTAATCCACCATCTCCCACTGTATCTTCAACAGGAGTACTGAGCACCCACGCGTACGTCGGATCGCCTCCCTAGACTCATCTGACGACGAAACGGAAAGATTTTTATGAAACCTCATAGTTTAGGTGACTTTTACAACTTAGATAACAAACACACACACATACATCCAAGATAACCAAGATGAAAACAAGAGACCTGAGCATCAATTCCAATCAAATACATTATGGCCTCTGCCATTTGAATCTTCTCAGGTGATTCGAGACCTTTCCTTGTATCGTTTCATTCATGAAACGAGGCGGCAGCCTTTTCTCTTCATGACAGGCGTCAGCATTCCGAATCACAACTGAGAGCTGCAGAATGAGATGTGCCGCAAAACCTGAAGGGACTAACAGATGTGAGTCTAAGCTGTATTTGTCTGAGAGACACACACTGTCCTCCAAGATCCGTGTCTAGACATGGAAATACGAAATGCGTAACATATGTCTCTCCTTGGCTCGGAGCTATTTTCCCTTATTCCATGGGACAAGTCAGGTAAAACCCAGAACCTACTTCTTAGCCATCAGGTTCATAAAGAAGAATATGCCTCAGAGGAATTTGAAGGTTTTAGGGAAACCTTCAAATGAATAAGCAGAAGGTTCTTTTGAATGTAACTGTTAAAAGTAAATCTCGTTACCATCACTCTGAGAAAAACATGACGCCCTGTCTGGCCATCATTTTCTCTTTCCTGCTGTCTCAACTATTCTCCTGGCCACAAAGACCTCTGCTGGTCTCAGAAAGTAGACAACCACTCACATAAGTCAGCATTCTGTCGACTTCTAATCTACATTCTTGTAGAAAAAGAAAACCACACCCCACTACCTTCTGAGAATCTTCTCAAGAGGCAGCACCACAAGCCACAGTGAGGTTTTTTTTTTTTTCAAGCAGAAACAACAGCCCTCCAAGCTGTTCCTCCAGCTTGAATGGCAACATCCATGTGGAGTCAACTAACTTTAAAGAGGATAAAAGACTCCTTTATTTTTTTTCCTATTGTAAGGAGAGTTCAAGATGTCTTCACATCACCTTAACCCCTGATGGACCAGATGGCCCGGGACTCAAAGCCAAGGACCACAGCAGTTTTCCAAAACCTTACCCAGACTGTTTTCAAACCAAGGTACCAAAGGCAGACCTGCCCGACACAGAGGTTTGGAACAGCAGATCAACTTACTTTGTCCTGACGAGCTTCGGCTGCATAATGATCCGTCCTATGCAATTTCCTTCTTCTTTTCTTTGGAGGAGAAACTGGTCTTTCCTGTCTCCTCTTAGGGGCAACTTTCCTCTTAGGTCTCTTAGCCGGAGTAAGAGGTGAGCCATAACTACACTCCTGTGCTGGCGGATAGAGATGTCTGCACTCAGAAGTCGTCTGTCCCCCTGGGCCAGGTGGTAAAGCTCACACTTTCCCATCTGGGGTCAGCAGAGTCTGAGATAGAAACACTAAGTTCTCCTTACGGGAGAACGCATTGGGATGGGATGGGATTCAGGGCCCTCTATAGAGAGAAGCCTCTGACCTGGGTCTCATTGTGGTCCCAGCTTCATTGCTGACCACAGGATATGATTTCAGAGGATCTAGTCATGTGGGTGCTTTGGGCTGAAAAGCCCGTGTTTGGATACATCTGCAAGTGACATTAGGCAAACTGGATGACTCCTGGGCTGTAGACAGACTGTCCCTTGGTTACAGAAAGCTCTCTGTGCATAGAATACTAGCTTGTAACCAGAGTCAAAGTCCCTTGGTCACCTCAAGATGACAATGAGGTTCATGTAGGTGGTTGATGGACGTCTATCTAGTCACACATATATCAGAGGGCTCTCAGCTTGCATGCTCAACCAAGGACAAAATGAAACAAAAATAATAAAACAGTCCTCATGGGTCCTGAATGAACTCGTAAACATCAGGACTTTCGGCAGGAAAGAGGAGCACAGGACTGAGTGTTTAGAAATCCTCTTTGAAAATTCAAACTAGGAAAAGTGACTGAGATTTCTTCATCACGGTAAAGAGATGAAGAAAGGCTCCACTCAGAGTCTTGCTATGGGAAGCTGGCTCCCTGTCTGAGGCAACAGTGATTCCCTAAGTATTGTCTGGAAACCCAGAGAGCGGTAACATCTCACCACCAACTGAAGGAAGAGGCCCCGGTGCTGGAGAAAACCAGCCCCTGATTTGCTGATGGTGCAAGGTGAATCAAAGCAGCAGGCCCTGACGTCTACCTAGCTACCTTATCTCTTGGCAGGACTGTTCCAAGAGCCATTGGGGATGCAGGCAGGGGCAGAAAGACAAACAGCGTTAGTGTCACCAAGGGGAACAACTGCCATGCGGTTGCTCCATTCCCAGGGCAAGCGAGCGGCTGCAGGAGCACCTCTCTTCTGTCTTACCCTCTCTCTCCGGCAGAGCAGTCGAAAGTCACAGCCCCGTAGACTTTGGTTTGCTTTGCTTCTAATGCTTCTAGTTTAGGCAAATCTCCATGAGAAGAGCAGGAAAAGGAAGAGGTTGTTTTTTTTTTTCCATGTCATGGTCACCGAGTACATTCCGCCAGCGCTCAAATCTACCCATCAAACTCTAGGCCATTTGCAAAAGACTCCAACATTCCAAAGATGCCCAGAGAGAACCCTTCCAATTGCAGCAGGTTAGAGGAGCAGAGGGAACGGAGTTTAAGCCAACTGAGTTTTCATCCAGTCATTACAAAGGCATGTTTCTCTTTCTTCAAATGTTAGAGGTAGACGAAAGCTAAGTTTTTTCACTGACCAGCCATACTTCAGCCTGAATTTAGAAGTTTTAGCCTGAGGTTATTTAAAGGATCGGGGAGGGGGGTGCGATCGTCCCTGCTTTTCAGAAGGATTCTTTCCCATCTGAAGGTAGGGACCAGCCAGCCAAAGCTCTGCCTCTAGGCCCAGAAGAGCAGCCGAACAAGAGGTCACAGAGGAAGCAGAGGTCAAAGAGAAAAAAGATTGTGCCAATAATCAAAAGCAAGCATATTTTTGAACATTCACCATTACACTAGGAAACCAGGAGCAGCACGCCATTTCTCGAAACTGTTAGCCCCATGTTTGGCTGTCTCAGTTAACAGCTTTTGAGACTCACCCCGAAAAACAAGTGTACCCAACTATTAAGCAAACAAACCACAAACTTCAGTTGAATTTCTCTTACAGTGCCATATAGCTTTTTTCTAGTTAAAATTATTCCAATTAGATTTCAAGTGCAAGTGTTTTCTTATTATTTATAAAATGGTATGCATTTTAAGAAAATAACCTTTCCCCTAGTGTATAGTGCTCTCATGCATACTTAAGATCTATGAGGACACATGACTGTGTATGTTTACATATATATGTACATTTAAATGTACATTTATATGTTTATGATAAACATGTATATAAGCCATTCACACTTATGACTCAAGAAAGGTTTGACTGGCTTGCTTTGGTTTTATTTTAAAAGCACAAAACCATTTTGTCTTGATTTCAGTAGAAGTAACTAGAACCATATGAAAAATAGTTGAGCTGGGTGTGGTGGTGGCTCACACCTTTAAGCCCAACACTTGGAAGGTAGAGGCAGGCAGATCTCTGTGAGTTCGAGGTCACCCTGGTCTACAAAGTGAGTTTCGGGACAGTCAGGGCTGTTACATAAAGAACCCCTGTCTCAAAACAAAACAAAAGATAGTTAAAAGTCTGAAAATGTCCTTTTCTTTATGAGAAAAATGTGAGCAGGCTATCATATATTCTAAGATATGCAATTAATAATGTTTACCCAACAGATAGGGAAGAAAACGCCTGTTGCAAGCAGTATTAATACTGAAAAGAACACAGTGAGAATACTTACAACTCTTAGTGCAAAAATACTATGGGGAGAAAAGGCTTGTATGTTTATAAGCAATTATGGACATAGAAACCATCATTATACCAAATTAAAGCATTCTACATTTTGCTTCACTTAGCCATTGCTCAGCACTTCAGAACAACTGGGTTGTTTCTTACTCAAAATATACCTGCTTTCGCAAGGTGGCTGTAAGGAAACCACACACCTCACCAACCCAGAAATGTCCCTGGGAAAGAACACTTCCTGCTAAGCCATATGATTTAAGGTATCAAATGTGTGATAATTCATGTGTATTGTTAAGAGCCAGCTCTTGCCACATAGATGATGCTTCCTGTAATTTGAACATCGTTATTGATAGGTGGCTTCACTCATCCCCTCTTCTGTGGGAAGCTTAGCTGGTTCTGTGGGAAGAAGGTCTGGGAATCTAACACAATCCTTCATTTGCCAAGGAACTGAAACAGCCCCAAACATCTTTAAGCACTGGTCTCAACTTTCAGAAGAGTGGCCATATCAATATCAATTCCTGTTTTTTTTTTTCTTTTGAAGGATATTATCCAGACAAAGTTGACTTTTTAATAGAGCACATGGAACTAGTTAGGTGTTTAGTGGGGTGGATTTTTTTTTCATTTTAATAAAATCTGTTTCCGTTAGTTCATTTTAGATTAACTTAAAAAAATCTTCCCAAAGATAAAACAGCCATCCTTACTTTTTGTGTCTCATGTGTGCAGATCTTTATCTTGTTTTATCATTTGTGTTTCATAATAACGCAATAATGCTTGAACATCAAAAGGATAAAAGAGCCCAGGATTTAAAAGACTTCCGTGATTCAAAACCAACTATGAATGGGTTCACATAGTTACTAGTTTCTAGTGCTTAAAAAAAAAAAAAAAAAGACCAAACACTGAATTGATGTTAAAGCATTCAAAAATCCTTATGCCTTCTTCATATTCCCTGCCTTTGTTTAGACATAGAGCAAATTGTTTAAAGCTGCTTAAATCAAGACACGTTTGTCGCATCTCTGACACATCCGTGTGCTGAACATGGTGAATTTGGTTAGAGCCGCTGTGTCATCACGGGCTTCCAGGTACACAGCACCCACCAACAAAGGCTTTTTAAAATAATTTCCTCAGCTCAAATCAAGCTTCCCGTTGTTGTGGTAACCTCTGTGACCCATGGGGAAAAAAATAGAAAAAAATCTAAAATATTTTAAGATTCTGACTTGTAGACTTTGATCATGTTTCAAGTGATCTATCCTGAAATGTTAGGAAGAATTCCATCGCAGATGAATGAAAAACAGTAATAGACAACCATTTCCTGCACGTGACGTCACAGTGATCTGTACCTTACAAACAGATTGTCTTCTACTGGGATGGCAAGTGTGACCAGGGTGCCACCACCTCCACTAGTCACAGGCCTCCAATGGAGCATCTCTCTCATTTAAGAACTCAGTTTACCTTCGGGAGTGCATATGGTTCCACACTACGAACACATATGTCCAAATAAATACCCCACAAAATGTTTCTCTGCTATGCCGCATGTCAGGTTAATCACACATGCTCAGGCTAAAATAACTTCTCCTCAAAGAACTGTGTAAGCATTTGAAAGCTGTTAAACTCCAGTTGTGATGTCTTGCATCCCAGAGGTTTCATAGATCCCTCTGTCCTATCCCACGGGTGGCCAAATCCTGCACGTGGTTCCACTAATACCTTCACGGCTGAAAGTCCCCCCCCCCCGCCCCGTTCCCCATAATACCACGTTTAGGATATGTTTTTATACCAAGCAATCTGAAAGGAAGTTCCTGTAAGAGAAACAAGTATATTTAAGTTTTCATTGTTTTGATTTGTTTTGTTTTTAAGTTTCTGGTACTGAAATGATTTGATATTATTTATGTCTTGTAGGTTTGAAAACTCCCAGACTTCGCGCAAATCCTGAAGTAAGGTTTTGGAAATTCGGTGGCCTAGGAAGATGGGTTCTCCTCAGACAGATGATGAACTACTAACCTCAGGGCCAAAAGGGCCATATTTGTGTCCAGAGAAATCGGGCTGCTCAGAATAGAAGGCATAAACTGAGGGCCTGTGGGAAAATCAGAACCAGAGTCAAAGCCAAGCTACACAGAGCAACCTACAGCACACACATTATAAATAAATAAATAAATAAATAAATAAATAAATAAATAAATAAACCTTCAAGGGCACAGGAAGGTCGAGGGCACAGGAAGGCAGTGGGACAAAAATAAAGGAGGCAAAACATGATAGCTCATAATAACACATATGCAAATGCCATGATGAAGCCCATCACTCTGAATGCTGGTCTAAAAAATTAATTTAAAAGCAAAATCCTTCAAGTTTAGCTAGCCTCCCGCCCACTATTAGTATCACCATGGAAAATCTTACCTTCATTACTTCCTCACCCACCACCCTACCCCCCACACACACACACACACTGCTCCCCACTGGAGGAACTGCAGATTCCACTTCAAAGGATTAAAAGGCACAATGAAAAAAAAAAGATTGAGCATCACTGGGGACTCTGATCCTTCGATAGCAGAATACGGTGATCATCGCCACAGGCCACACAATCTGCAGACTGAGAGAACTGACTGTGTTCAGGGGATATTCAGCCTTCATGCCTTTCAATCGTCGAGCTGCTGCTGCTGGATTCCTTTATCAAAGCCTCAGGTCCACTGAAGCCACCGAGATTAACAGCTGGAGTCAGCCGTTTATTGAAATGGCCCCCAGAAACTCAAAACTTCTTAAAACATAAAGCTTAACAACCACAAGACTTTTAATAACATCAGTCCCTGGCTGTGCTTCTATGTCACGGTCCATTCTAGTGTTGAGCCCAAGATGGAAATTTAACCGAAGAAAGAAAAGGACAGACGAGAACAGACAGATACCTCTCATTGTCTGGTAGTGAAAGCCATTGCAGGATGGTTAAGATTCTCCGCTCATGAGGGATGGTCCTGTAAGGGTGTAAAAATGAAGCAAATCCTTAGGTTGCAGTTCCACAAACCCAAGCCCCAAAAGTGGTTGGCTCTTAACACCCAGGCCAGTGCGCTCTCTCTTCCCCGCCATCTGTTTCCACTTGATTGCAACGAAGGGCCCTCTTTGGAATTAGTGCTTAAACTTTCGTTTCCACCCCTAACCTCGTTTATTGCTCAACCCCTTCTATGAAGGACTGGACTGGAAACTCTGATTCATGACCAAAGCGAAGGACCTATCTTGCTGATCAGAAACTGTGCTACAAGCTAAAAGGACCATGGCTTTAAAACCAGTGTTGTTTGATGGGTCAAGCCCTTTGCTGTGGCAGAAGGCTTCCAGCATCCACCTCTCGCTGGCAATCTGACTTCTGCGGACCTCAAAGCCTCCAGACCTGTCTGAGCCTCTGTTTTCCCATCAGAATGACAGTGACCACAACAAAGAATATTGCACACCAGTTGTAGAGTGGAGTGAAATAAAGCAAGGACAGAGCACACAAAGTACCTAACATATAGCAAATGTTTAAAAAAAATTTCAAAACTAAAAAATAAATCTTATTTTATCAATGATCACAGTTAGATATCCATCCACCTCCAAATAGCTATAACTTTGAAAGCATTATCTAACCCCAAACTTCAAGTTCCTCCTCTACAAAATAATGGGTTAGTGAAGGGACCCTTGACATTTTCTTCTAGCTTCTAGCTCTGCTGTCAAGAGCAGGCACATATAATTATGAGACTGACAAAAGGGGTATAATCTTCATCCACAAAGGCTTTTGTGTCTAAGTTACCATTCCTCTGTTGAACATAATTACCCTAGGCCTGGCAATAGCATAAGGGGCTCTTGGATAACACAGGAGGGCATCCTGGGCTGAGTGCCGTTACAAGGTTCGCAAGCTAAGCAATATTTTGACTTGAGAAAGAATCACTTGTTGTTATTGCTTTTTTTTTTCCCCAACAAAGAATACAAAATGTTCTTCTGCTTTAAGATCAGGCCATGGAGGCAAATTCAAGATGAATCCAAAGTAGCACTAGTTTCATCGTGGTGAGGAAAATTATTGGGTGGACCATTTAGACCTCTACTCTGGGCAACATCAGCGAGAGGGCTGGGAGAAAGATAAGTCCCCACAAACAGGGCCAATGACTATGCCTGCCACCACTGCCTATCCCAATAGCTCCACTTGGCTCTCCTCTCAGGATCTGACACCACCTCTCTATCGAGTGATGTTCTCCAGGACTAGAAAACCATGCTTACTGTAAAATAAGCCCTGCCCTAAACATATCCCTATGACATTGAATAAGTGTGGCCTAGCTTGTTATGTTCTACGAGTGAAATAGAAATAGACTAAGCAAAGTCAGGTTAATCGCTTAAGAAATTTAATCCTTTAACCTTAGGGATCTGTTGTATCCAAACAAAATAATTTTAATGGCAGGTTTTGAATTCTTTCCTAACTTATATACAAAAAGAACCAGTGCCTCGGCCCATTCGTGTTACTTGAAAGCTGCTTGCTTTTGTATGCATGGTGTCACAGCACACATATGGACTTCGATGAACCTACTCCTGATGTCAATGGAGAAATGCAAGGAGAGAGAACACGTGTGAAGGTAAGAATGCCCGTCCTTGAATACCCTTGCTGCATGAGGCGCATGACCAGCTCTAGAGAATCAAAGACACCAGCCTGGAGGGCAGAATGCCTGGGTTTGAATCCTAATTCCCGTAAGCAAGCACTGGTGATGAGATTTTGGCAAGGTACCTGTCTTTTTGATGCCTCTGCAAAATGCTGGTAGCTGTACCTGTTTATAAGGTTATTGGAAGGTTTCCAAGAGATAATATATGGAAAGCAGTTTAAAACAGTTCTTGGTTCATAGAAAGAGTTTAGGAAAATGCTAATTTTACAAGATCAAGCCAATCAATGTTCTAGTATGGAGGGGAAAGAGTCTCCACTCTTAACTGAGGGACTGCTGAAGAACTGACAGATTCTGAGGGAGCTAGCCAGTTCTCTTTGAGGTTGTGGCCTCTGGTAGGTCAGCCAGGCTGGAAAGCCCCACATCTATGAGGACCAGGGCAGCATAACAGCATCAAGGGGACTTGGTAGGTAGGTTTTTAAAAAAAAAAAGACATTAAGTTGGGCAGGTGGGGGAAGAGAGGGGTGGATCTGGGAGAAGATGGAGAGAGAGTGGGGAGTTAATACCATCCAATATATGAAATTATGAAGGAGTTAAAAGTTAATGAAATGTTATATTAAAAAAGAAAAATTCTAGTTTACATAATCATGTACTGGACTTCTAGGTCTATAGAGAGGGCACGTCCATTCATGAAATGTATATTAAAGGTACATGTGATTAAGGCCTGTATATGAAAGCGAAGATACAAGATTCTCCCATCTAAAGAATGATGGTAGAGGAGTCATCTCCCTCTGCTTGGGATGGAAAAGCAGAGGATCATTTTTATCATTCCTTGAGTAACCGTTCCCCCTGCCCTCGCCCAGTGTTGTGTGTGCTACAGCAAAGACTTGGGAGGCCCCAGTGTCTGTCTTTAGTGCGTCCTTCAGCACAGCGTTTAACAATTCTAAGTCCTAATGTTGTAAACAAGTAATTAGGCAAGGTGGTCTCTAAAGTAGTCTATGTGTTTTGGAAATAACCTCACAGATTTAAAAAAAAAATGGTCCTTTAGCCCTTAGCTATTAGTGTTTCAAATACAGGGCAAAGAATTGCGAATAAGAGCAGCAAGTATCTAAGCAGCAAGGAAAATAGGGCATGTGTCATTGACTTCAGTAGCACTGATTGAAAAAGAATTAATCTGGAGACTAAGTACATAAGACAGAGTCACAAAAAAGAAAACTGAAAACCAGAAAATGAAAGACTAAATGAGGTGATAAGAGGCTACATTGTTTAGTCAGTGTTTAAAGAAATGAGAATTTAAAAAAAAATGCTGGTTATTGACTATTCTCTCTGTACCAATAAAGCTCTCTAAAAAAAGATAACTTGATCTGTCTTCGCAGTGCCCTTTGGTAATTCCTACTTAAAGATGGGAACATTGATTTGCTGAGATGCTCAGTCATATGCCCAAGGTCAGTAGCCTCATAAGTAGCCAACCTAAATTGTATTCAGTCTAAACCCTGGTATACAATGGGAATTACTGCCTCTGAGAATGAATTGAAACAAAGAAATGAAATACTGTATCAGCTGGGGATGATTTTGAAATGAAATACTATCATCTAAGATGCAGAAATAAAATTCTAGACTGCAATGAAGAACCATGCTTAAAGGGTGACCTTTAAAGTCTAAACCTATGGTTTGAATCTGGTTTTATTTAAATTTTAAATTTTTCAAAATGGACTCTATGCAGATACCCTTGATATATATTCCCTGTAAAAATGGGAAGCCCGATCATATTTTACAAAGTTATAAAAAGCTTCAAAGGGGTGAGGACTGGGAGTAAATGAGCCCACTCATTTCCAGGACACAGAGATAAAAGAATAGCTCGAGAAGCCAAGGCATCTCGGGAGTACACAAAAGCCACCTTATTATAAGTGGTTTCAAAATGGGTGGAGAAAACCGTCATTCAAAGCCACAACACTGGGCCTTTTCAAGGAAGCTTTGCAACAATCCCAGGGGGGTAAGGGTGCGGACTAAGTATTAATTACGTTGTTGGGTCCCCTCCGCTCTGCTAGGCGAAGGAGTCACACAGCAGAATTCCCACATACATCGGTGAGAGCCAAGGGTTAAAACCTGAGCCGTGGAAGACTAACTAGGTAAATGACAAGTCACTTACATTAAGCTGCATCAATTTTATCATGGCTGTACTTATCCCTGGACTCAGAGACCTCTTCAAAAGAGAAGAGATAAAAACGCCTCTCTAAATTGACCCCGTCTTAGCTTCTGGTCACCCAAAACAATTTTAACTGAACCCTCTGAATCTGAATCTGACCTCTGTCCCTGAGTTTGGAGTCTACAGAAAGCATCGCTCTGGATCCATCTTAACCGTGATTGAGCTCCCTCAGCACACTGCTGCTAGCAGAACAGCCCAGAATTTTCGTAAAAGCGTAAAAAAGCAGCTATGGAAACAGCCTAAGGTGGTTAGAAAAAAGCAAAACAGTGGAAAGAACACACCAGGAATAAAATCCCCATAAAGGTCGAACCAGACCCCTTTTATCATTCAAGGAGCCTTGAAAATAATCAACATGCTGACAGCTTTATCAGGTAAATTTCATTTGAAAGCCTGAAAACATCAATTATTAATTCCCAGTTACTTCAGCAGCGATAAGCCGTTCCATTTTCTTACTGGGGAAATTGGAAATTTTTGGTGGGAAACAGGGTGAAAATGGAGGCTTCCCCTACCCAGGTCTACTGTGGAGAACTTCCAGACTCTAGACCATTCCATCAGCTTCCCAACTGCCTGAGCCTACACAATGTGTTTAAAGTTGGGAAGCAAAATAAATATAAACAAAATAAACACTGTAGTTTTCAGTATATTTATAGAGTGATGGCAGAAACTACAGCAATAGTCTAAGAGAAATATACACTCCTGGGTGAAAAGCTGCCAAACTAAAGGTTAACAAGATAAAAGATCTAAAGAGTAGGTCTAAGAGAAAATCATCCTTAACTAAAGGGTGGGACAAGAAAGAAGAGAGAGGAGGAAGAGAGAGTGAAAAGGGGAAGAAAAAAGACAGAGAAAGAACCTTTGCGGAAAAAAAATACCTGAAAAGTTATTTTTGAATTAATAAACTCTCATTAACTTGGCATGTTTACATCTAGCTGAAATGAAGTTGATCAAATTTGATGTTTCATAAATCGAACCATAACTGTAAATTTTATAAACATTGACAAAATAAAGGTAACTTACACAGACCAAAAGAATGTTCCAGCTCTCACCCCTTGCTTGGTGGCTGTAATCCATAGCTAATGAGGAAAATATAAGAGGCTTATAATACATTCTGAGTTCTGGTTAGAGAAGAAAAAAAGACTCAAACATTAGACCTGATACGCCATACTCTATTCGTGCCCCACCATAAACTTCACAAGATTTCCAACCGTTTGTGTCTCCACATCTGGAAGTTAGACTCATTGTTTCCGTAAGTGTTATTCAATACATATTCTGCAAAAGTTCTCAAAGGCTTCGCTTGAGATGCCACTGACTTTTCAAACTGCTATTTCATCGCCAAAGTCTTTCTTTTCTATACCTGTCTTTTCTGATAACTGTTTTAAGCATTACTTGTGTGGCGGAATTCTGCTCATTAAAGGATGCAGGGATAGACCATATGTTCCTTTTACTGCTGATGGCCTTGTGGAGTGGAGTCCCAATTTGGTACCCAGATGTCAAAATCTTTAAATCTAGCTTGTCACATTTGACTAGATGAATGACGGGGGAGGGGGTTGCGGAGGAACTAAAAAGACTACATTTTAATATCTTTTTTTAAACATTGTTAATCTACTTTGTTTTTTTCTTTTGTTTTGGAAAATGGATCTCTAGGGGACAGTTTATAGAATAAGTGGGGTGAATGAAGTATTCCATGATGAACATTCTTAAGCATTCTCTGTAAACCACTGATGCAATCCCAATACTAAGGAGTCTGAGGCAAGGGGACAAGCCTAGGAAAAATGATGAGATTTGTTTGTTTGTCTGTCTGTCTGTTTTAATTCTAGCTCATGCTGATAAGAAGTAAAGGATGAAGGAGTTCAGAGCTCAGGTTTGCAACTTTGCACCCTAGACCTTGGCCTCTGCTTCTGTCACTTAACAGCGTGGTCCTTGAGAAAGTCACTGCGACATTTTGGGCTTTGGTTTCCTTCACAGAGCAGATGGACTTTCCTAGCAGATGGGATGATGCTACATTTTAATGAGTTAATTCACTTAAAATCCATAAACCAGTGTTTTAGCATTGGATAAACAGTCTGCTTCAGTCTTTCATTATTACACAATAGCAAAAATCAATGGAATCCATTTACCCCAGGAGCATTAAAAACAGCTTACAGTGGCAAGAGTCCCACTGTGGGAAGAAATCCTCACAAAGGAAGAGAAGGACAGTAGATGACAGGGGACTGTGGTCTGAGACCAAGGCAAACGGGATCCTTCTCCTGTTTCATTGCATCCAGACTTTGGGAGTATTTTATGGGTATGACTCTGATTGAAATCTGTGTTCTAATGACACAGGCTCGCTGCATTCATATCCAAACAACCTCCTGCAAAAGCTACTGCCTTGCTAGCTCCAAGGAAACTGTACCAGGCCTTATTTGATATATAAGGCCAACCTGGGGCTTGCTAAAGGAAAAATATCATAACGTGAACTTCTCAAATGATGGCCTACGTTGTTCAAAATTCTAGCATAGAACTCATGCTGATGCTGGCATTATCCGGATAATGGGAAGTCCTAGGGATAAAGTTTAGCTCGTGTACAAGATCACCAGCAGAAAAATTCACACTGATAGAAGGCTGCAGTGTGAAGATGACAAGTAACCATGACAACAACTCTGATGGCCCACAGGAAGATCAAGAAGGAAGATGCAGGAGGGTTGACTGGAATCTGGGTATGGACTACTCAAGGGATCTGCTCAGGTACCTGGCCTGGCGCAGCTCCATCCTGTTAAATATGACCAAGATAGGTCACCAGAGAGCTGTTTTCACATGCTACACTTCCGGGACGCTCCAAGTCTCTACCCCAGCCCATGTTCCTCCTGAGTGAACTGGCAAACCCGTTAATGTATGCTATTAAAGGGTTGACAATAAGTCTCATGCTGATGACAAAAATCAGCATCTAATTTTTGTTTGTTTGTTGATTTGGTGTTTCGAGACAGAGTTTCTTTAAATAACAGTCCTGGCTGTCCTGGAACTCTCTTGTAGATCAGGCTGGCCTTGAACTCACAGAGATCGGCCTGCCTCTGCCTCCTGAGTGCTGGAATTAAAGGCGTGCGCCACCGCCACTGCCTGGCATCAGCCTCTAATCATTTATAGACCAGGCTGGTCTCAGCTTCATTACAGAACTGAACAGCTTGGTCCTCCTGACTCCTTCCTCTCCAGCACAAGCACATTGTGCTGCCGTCAGAATCAGCTTTCTGAGTATTTTCCATACATTTTCTATTGGACAATGTGAAGTTTAAGAAGCGTGTTTTTAGCCCTGCATGGAAGCATCTGTATGTAATCCCGGCAGTAGGGAGACTGAGACGGGAGGATTACAAATTTGAGGCCAAATATAAAAACAAAAATGTGCCCTTCTTCTGAAAAAAGAAGCAAGAACATAATCTCTCCTTCATAGTAGCCACCACACTGACTATGTTTATAAAAGAAAATGAGGAACTGGAGAGATGGCTCAGAGGTTAAGAGCATCAACTCCTCTTCCAGAGGACCCAGGTTCAATTAGCAGCATGCATACAGCAGCTCACGACTGGCTGTAACTCCAGCTCCAGGGTGACATCTTCACACCAATGCATATAAAGTTAAATAAACTATTTTTAAAAAAGAAAAAGAAAATGAGGGGCCTCATCAAAAGAGAACAAAAAATGAATCACAGAGAATATATGAAATCAAATGTATACTTACTCATTATGAACTACTAATCAAATATAGTGGAAAAAAACAAACAAAAGACATAAAAAGAGGAGATTAGTTGAAAAATACAAAAATTAATGAGTAGCGGAGGACAAGAGAGCAGTGGAGGAGAATCTGACCAACATACCTTGGATATGTGCATGAAATTGTCCAGAAAAATCTACCACATATTCGTGTATGGAATTGTGCAAAAAAAAATACACGGGCAAAAATACTTTATCAAAGATGATATATAATATTGTCCATACCAAACATAATTTTTCCTTATTGTTTATAGTGTATATGCCTACATTTTATTGAGAAAGTCTTGCATATCTGAACAAGCTTTATTGAACACATTGTGGAATAATCTTTTTGTACACTGTGAAGATGTGTCACTTTGATTGATTTAATAAAAAGCTGAACAGCCAATAGCTAGACAGGATTTCTGGGCACAGAGGATGCTGGGAAGAAGAAGGGGAAACACCAGGAGTCACTGGGCAAGCAGAATGGGCACTATGTAGATGAGGTAATAAAGCCATGAGGTTAATGTAAATTATAAGAGCTAGTTAGAAACAAACCCAAGCTATCGGCCCAGCTTCCATAATTAATAATAAGTCTCCGTGTCATTATTAGGGAGCAGACGGTTCCAACAAAAAAGTGCAACTACAGAACACGTTTCACATAATAACACATTCCAAAAAAATTTTAGATATTATAAATTAAATGGTCAAAAACATTTAATAAGTTCATAGTATTGTCAAAGTTTAGCAAATTCTGGGAGACTGAAGCATGAGGGGATTTCTTAAGTTGAATCCTAAACTGCCAGGACAGCTTCTGTAGAGGCCATATGTATATCTTATATTTCAGGGGTCAGAAGTGTGGGAATTATCAAAATTGGGGATACCAAAATGCTGACCCAAAGAAGAAAGTCAAAAACAACCCCTCTAGTACCACATTTTTTAAGTAGACAGAAAAGTTCCCAGCTCCGTGTTAATTTTATGATTTTTTTCTGAACTTGAATGCAAACATACATTTCCTTAGATGCTGTTAAAAGAAATTTAAGCAAATAAACTGAGAAGATATTGACTGAGTGTGGACCTCCTACCCTTAAATCCTCAGAATGCTCTGTTGCAAAAGCCCAATTCTTGTATCGATGCCCTAGATACAGCATTTTGAAAACCAGGCAAATGGAAATATAGCTGTATCTTCTTGCTGTGTTTCCAGGAATGCTAAGAATCAAGAAAGCTTCCCCACTGGAACCAGGGCTTTAAATGTGAAACCCAACACTTTCTGTAATGAAATGAAGTATACAGGTATACTGCTGTTATGAATTGTAATGTAAATATCTGATATGCAGGATATCTGATCTGCAATTCCCACAAAGAGATTGCAGCCCACAGGCTGAGAAACTCCGCCTCAGGAGCTCGGACAGAGAGCAGCTAGGGGGTGTGCTCAGCAGGAGATCATGCACACGGCTCTTGGTTCAATAGTCAGCAGCAAGAACCAAAATGAACACAATTGGAGGGCAGGGGATCCTGTAGGTTATGTAAGAGTGTATGGGAAGGAGGCAGAGGAAAGGATGTAAGAAAAGCAGACAGTGACTTGGACTTCCCATCTGGCCCATCCCTCTGGCTTAGAAATTCTTTAGTCATCTTTTTTGGAATATGCCTGCACCCCTCACTTTAGACTGTAATTCATTCATGAGGATGGGCCCTGCGTGATCAATAGGGTGGTTAACAATTCAAGGCCAGGCAGCTTGAGAAGAGCAGGAGCATATCTGTTCCCTTAAAAACACTCGCTGACTTCAGGGAACTTGAATCAGGAAGCGGGCTTTACTTGTCTCTCCAATCTGCAGATTGAGTTAGTACCCGGAGTCCCATGCACACACCCCCTAAGTCCAGATCTAAACTAAACACAGAAGTACTCCACCAACCTCTTCCTCAGAGGTTACAGGACTGTACCATATTTTCAAAGAAGTAAGCACCCTAAGGGACTCCATTAAAATACACAGGAGCATACAGAATCATAAGCAAGTGATAGCAACTTCCAATAGCACTTTCCAAAGATTAGCAAGTCAAAAACAAACAAACACACAAACAAAAACCTTCATGATGAGAGTGATCATATCCAGTTGCTTTCTGTGATGGTTTGAAAGAAAATGGCCCCCAAAGGGAGTGACACTATCAGGAGGTATGGCCTTGTTGAAGAAAGTGTGTCACAGTGGGGTCGGGCTTTGAGGTCTCTTTTGCTCAAGCTTCCCTCAGTGTGACAGTTAACTTCCTGTTGCCTGCAGGATGTAGCATTCTGAGCTATTCCTCCAGCACCACATCTGCCTGCATGCTGCCATGTTCCCCATCATGATGATAATGGACTGAACCTCTGAAACTGTAAGCAAGCCCTCTCAATTAAATGCTTTCCTTATAAGAGTTGCCACAATAATGGTGTCTCTTTGTAGCAATAAAAAACCCAAGCTAAGACACTCTTAAAGATAAAATTAAGTTATAGAAGTTATTTTTTGAAAACTTACTATGTAGATTCAAAATTTCACATGAACATACCCCAAATCTTCATCCCATCTGCTAGGTTTTAAACAGGGGCAAGAAGTGGTTTTTATTCATTGTTTCATCTGGTCCCTGGGCTATTTAGCCAAATGTCCTACATAGTTTCATCATTCAGGAAAATATGAATGGAACTAAATCAAATTACCAGCCTAAGATTATTTTTTTCACTGGGGACCTCATAAAATGGACAAGTCTCTAAGAGGTTTATATACATGCTTTAGAAATACATAGAATTTATTTCATATAATGCTTACTGCACTGAATGATGGTATACTTCACCTACAGTTACTTCTAGTTTTTATATGTATGCTCTTTGGCTAGGTCAGATTTTAATACAATGAGTTTTTAAAATATAGTTATGATGGTACTTAGCATCCTTATGGTGTCTGTCTTGATCAAGATGATAGAAACACAAGTCAGTGTCACCACAAGTCTTGGGGAACATTAGGAGACTTGGTCAAATGTGTCAACTCTAAAAGCTAGTGAGGAAGCAGGCCAACAAAGCAGAACAGAGAACTTACTTCCTGGGGCAGGCCAACAGATTCTCTACTCAGTGTCTGCAGAAGGTTGTGAATTTGTGGGCTTTTCTGCTGCTGAGTCATGCTAGCCCAGAGGAAACTTAATGTCAACACCAAGTGTAAAGTGATCCAATTAGGTCAGATTACCATTTGTCTCCATAGATCCCTTGCGGTTCCTCCGGCAAGTTGGTTTCCATAATCAAATTAATACCGAAGAACAACCAGCAATAGGCCGGTAGAGCTGGCATTGCCATCATTTTATTTACTCATAAAATATTCCTCTGTCATAAACTTGTGGAATCCACCCTGCCAACAAATTTCACTGGGATCACAAACTAAGTCATCATAGACTCTGGGAATTCAGCCTGAACGAGAGCAGTAAAATCAGAGTGTCTCTTCTATTATAAAGAGCCTTTTCTATGGGCATACAGGAAATCTGTCAGTGTTTATTTAAAAAAAAAGAAAGAAAGAAAGAAAGAAAGAAAGAAAGAAAGAAAGAAAGAAAGAAAGAAAGAAAGGAAGGAAGGAAGAAAGAAAGAAGAAGCCCACATTTATTCTTGCATAGTGATTTACCTATTAAGCAAGATGAATATTTTAATCACAGAAGACCTCTCAGAAAAAGATACCTTATGAAAACATCTCTTGCTTGTACTCCTTATTCTGCCTGTCTGCAGCAGTGAATGCTCAGATTCAAGACTGTCTCAGCATGGTGGCTGTACGGGATGAGTGAGGACAGTGCCTTCCTCCCACTCCTACCTAGGCAGACTGCACAGAGGTCTGACAAGCCTCCTCCTTCACCAGTGCCCCAGACAGCTCGAGATGGACTGGTTTTCCATTCACTCTCTGCGCATCTCCGACTGACTGTGCCCTGGTCTGTGTTCCTGCGATGATTCTGAGCCTCTTGGGCCAAAGCATGTACTCAACAGCCCAGTTCTATACAGTCAACAACCATAGCTTTATGTCATTGCTTTTCTCACGTCTGACCAAAGCAGGTTACCTAACTGTACACAGTCTCAGAAAAAAAAAAACACCCTGGGAAGTCGCCTGAAGCCTTTTGATTTTCTGCCTGAGTGTCTGAGGTCCCGGGCAGGATCTCCTTCCAAGTGTTCTTCATCTCTGCCTCAGCACCAAGGTAGGACTCCACTTCTTCCATCTACCTTCTACGATCAAGTGGATTAAATAAAATAATCTATAAATTTCCTGCGAGTTTTAATCCACTCCTTTTCTCCATCAACCACTCTTATTCCTGCTTATGATGTCTTCTGGGTTGAAATATTTGAAAAATGGTAGTGCTTTTTCTTTTACGTTGTAGCTCCAAATTTGATAAATAGGTAACATTTGATTATTCCTTCATCTAGGCACTCTGACATTCGACCCACGGTATAATTCCACCGCTATCATCCCAGAGAAGAAATGTGTCATCTCACATTTTTCTCATCCTAACTTATGTTGGCACGTGTACATTCATAGACGCATGTGTGTATATGTGCATAACACATACCTACATGCATGTAAGTATACACATCCCATACAAATATACTACATACATTCGCATATACATATATAAAATGTACACATATACAAACATACACATGCAATGTCAAAAGGTGAAACACCCCTATTTTGGAAAAATAGTTCAATGCAAACAGACACATAGAATTCAAGACTTACAGGTTGACCTCCCCACCATCGATGGTTAAACTTCTCTCGCCCTCGAAGATGGAAAGTAGCGTCGAATACAGGATCATACATTGAATTGCCAACAATCCCATGGGATTCTGGATATAAACCCTTTGCATAAGAGTGATTTTTATTGTTAAAATAGCAATATTATAATCTATACATGTTAGTTCTAGTATCAACTTTCTTACTATAGCAAGTTTTATAATAATATTGAATTACCCAACTCAAGTAGAAGATATATAACATTTATTTTGATTTTATTGTTAAAATAGCAATGTAATAATCTACATATATTAGTTTTATTATCAATTTTCTTATCATAGAAGATTTTATAATAATATTGAATTACCCAACTCAGGTAAGATACATATAACCTTTACTTTGGCTTTATTGTTAAAATAGCAATGTAACAATCGACATATGTTAGTTCTATTATCAATTTTCTTATCATAGATGGTTTTATAATAATATTGAATTACCCAAATCAAATAGATACATATAGCCTTTGAGTATGTATTTGGACAAATGAATTATAGTTAATATAAGTTATTTTAGAAATACAAATGATGGCGAGAAATATAATATTTGGGCTTTTTTTTACTGCTGAGACTTAACAAAATAGACATTTTTACTATTTTATTTGAAATGGGTACATGTCTCCAAAGGAGATTCAGTGCATGATTCTATTTGTTCTTCAAATAATTAACTTATAAAACAATAATGATTAATAAAACATTGTGCTTAAAACAAGAAAACAGGGTAGCATTTGGAATGTTTGAAAATTCAAACATAGAAGCCCTTATTTGAAAATTCAGAATAAATGATAGACATCTCTAAAGTTGAGAGTTTAATGGGAAGTTTGGCAAGAAGAGCACTTGAAAAGGCTGCAGTTTTAATTCTGAAATTCAGTTTAGTCACCCATAAAGCCATGAGTGTCATAGTAAGCAATGCAGGCAAATGAAAGGATAAGGTTTTCTTTGAATACTGAAGAATATGTTTTGGGGTTTTTTGTTGTTGTGCTGTTGGTTGATTGGTTGGTCAGTTTTTGTTTTGCTTTATTTATTTATTTATTTATTTATTTATTTATTTATTTTAACTTTTAGAGGTCGCCTACAAATTGCTCTACAACTGAGAAAATGCCGCCAAGAACAAGATACTCACATGTCGCCGTGCATGGTACTTGCAGCTCCGCCGTGGATGTACCCGGGTTTTCGGGCGTGGATTTGGGCTAGAAAAGCCTTTTCAGATGTTGGTGATGGAACCAGACCTTCGAACTGTGTTTTTGCAAATTCAGAATCCACAGTACTGTCTGTTTCACTCGCCACCTCTAGTGGGCAGTGGAAGACACAGAGAGTCACCCCTTAGGAAGCTTTGACCCAGAAATAAAGGCCCGGGCTCCCCAGGAAGCTTAGGGCCTAGAAACAATTTCCCAGGTTCCACATGCAGTAAAGTCAGGGTATCAGACACCAGCCTTTTTTCCCCTCTAAAATGAGAGTTGGTACTGAAATGAATTAACTATAAAATAGTTTTGCATACAGCATTTTCTTTCTTTATTCAGGGCTGGAGAGGTAATTCGGTGGTTAAAAGCGCTTTCTGCTGTTGTAGAAGACCGAGTCCCATTCCCAGCACCTATGTCGGGAGGCTCACAATCACCCACAGCCGAAGCTACTGGGAATCAGAAACCCTCAGCTTTCACACAGACAAAGCACCTGCACAGGCCCACATATCCACACGCACATGTGCAGACACATACACGCGCGCACACACATTTAAAAATTCCTTTAAAATGTTAAAATCTCATTTTGTATTTGACTATGATCAGGTTTCTAGGAGGGACCCCGAGCATAAGGACCTTTCCAGAACAAACCCACAAGGGACAGGAGACCAAAACGCACCTGAATTCAGCTCTTTCACCAGCGAGGACATAGTGTTAGTGATGGAATCTGCGGCTACCAGCAAGTCATTCCTTAAATTCCGTCTTGAACCTTCAATAAAGAGGCAACAATTTAAAAATGATACAGCCTTTCCTTCCCCACCAGCTCTATGTTGCTCATCTGTCAGATCCTCTGAAGACCTATAGCAACAACAGGAGCTTTGGTTTGTTCCCTGAATGGGGGGTGGGG